GCAAAAAACACATAAAAAAAAAACCAAGCCCACAAAAGGAAAAATGTAAAAAAAAAAAAAAAAAAAAAAAAAAGATTATAACAAATAAAAATTTTAACAAAAGTCTAATTTTCTTCTATATTATTGCTATTTCTGCTTCTTTTATTCTAGTTTTTAAAAAACTAAATATTATTTTATATATTTTTTTATTAAAGCTCTGAATTAGATTTTTTAATACTATTTATATATTTTACTAAAACATTTTTTCTGCAATTTTGTATATAGAGAATCAGTAAAGAAAGTTTGAATTAAATTAATAAACAATCTATCTGTTATCTAAAAAGAATTTGCAAATTATTATAAGTAATTTTACTATTAAACTAAATATAAAATGCTTTAATATTAAGTAAATCATTCTTGGGCTTCTAACAAAGTTGTAGAGCTTATTAAAATATATCTAATAGTAGTAAGAATATTAAAATTAGTCTAATAGTTTTTAAGAAATCTTTAAAAATATTTTGCTAATATATAAAATTTTTTTAAAAAAATTTATTTTTTTTAAAGAAAATTTATATATTAGCAAAATGTTTTTAAAGATTTTCAAGAACCACTAGTTTTATAACTTTTGTTAAAAGTTCAAAAGTAATTTATTTAGTAAAAAAAGTTTTAAATTAGAGTATTTATATTTAGCTCAATAGTAAAATTTATTTATAAAAATTTATAGATTTTTTCAAATAACAGATAGATTATCTATTAATAAATTAATATTTTAAAACAGTATATATATACTAAATAGAGTATTAGTTTATAGTAGCTTATTATCATAGTAATCTCATAATCAACTAATCAAAATTAATTTAAAAAAAATATTATAAAATTATTGTATAATAAATATTATTGTATAACAAATAAAAAATTGCAAAACTATTATACAACAAGTATTGTTGTATAACTAATAAAAAACTATTATTATATATTTAGATATTTATTTTTGGTGCATCTCATATTGTGTACAGAGTTTGACTAGCCTATATATCATATGGTTTAATGGTCATATGTAAACAATATCATATAACATATCTGTTCGCATCCTGTATTTTAATTATAGTAATAGCATGTAGGACCCAAATTATTAACAAAAAATTTAATTGATGCGGAGTTAATTTTAAGTGATACTATTGCATTGTTTGCCTAATTCAGTAATTATATCTAAAAATTTAATAAATAAAGAAGCATAACAAAAATAATATTTTTCATTTAGCATAGTAGTCCAATAAATACAAATTATTCACAAAAGTGTAGGCTGATATTTTAGTCTGTTTAGTAAAGGATGATTAGATTTGTTTGTTCACTGCAAAAATAAATACTTTTTATATTAGAATATCGTTTGTCTGTCAGAGTAACTTGTACTAGAACTATTGTTTGTTTGGTAGTGTAACTTGTAAATTACTATATATTATATTTATAATTAAATAGTTATTTAACAATATTCCAGATCAAATATTTCATTTTCAACCATATTTATATCAACAACCTGCTAGTTTTATAAGTTCTAATATTGAAATTGACTGTGTTAATAACATGTGTTTAGATAATGAATCTAATAATATTTAGATAATAAGTCTGGCAAAAATTTAAATAATGAGTTTAGTGAACATTTAGATAATGAGTCATATGAATTAGATAATAAGTTTGACAACAATTAGATATTGGATTTGATGAACAAGTAGAACTTTATAAAGGTATGTAAGCATTTATAGCTTTGTTTTTAGATACCAAATAAAGATAAATTTTAAAACTTTGTATTTTTCAGAACAAACTTTTCAGACTATTGAAGACGCATATGTTACAGTTAAGACTTACACATATTCAAAAGATTTGGAATTAGAAAGGGTTATATTGAAAAAGATCAAAGCAATAGTCGTGAAATTTCAAAAATGTTTCTATATCGTCATATTAGAAAGTTGTTATACGAAAAAAAATCATATAAAACTGAGAAGTCTGGATTATGCTGAACTGATTATAAATAAAAAGTTAACATATACTAAAGCAAGCATTTAAGTAGATATCATATATCTACCTTTACAGATATTCATACTGGCTATACCTTGATCCAACTACTATTAAATTTATTCCAAAAAACTAAACTTATCAATAAAATATTGGAAGATATTAAATACTATATGATTGTTGGAAAGCTTAATACAAGTTCACAATACCAGCTTTTTTCTGAAAAGTATAATATCCTAATCCATTATTATAATTTATATAATACTATCTTAAAATTTAAAAAAATTGATTCTCATGTAGATAATGATATATCACAATTATTGTCAAAACTAATTAAAAAAAAAGAAAAGACTTAAAATAAGTTATAAAGTGGCATTTTGACCCAAACACTAATGCATTAACACACTTTTTCTAGATATCTCCCAATCAGCTTGATCTTTGAATGTAGTATAGTGATATTATTATTCACGATAATACTACAAAAATGAATATTTATAATATGCTATTATCGCTTTTATTGCTATTAATAATACTTATCGATCTCGTCTTATTGTATAAGCAGTATTAGATAATGAAATAGCTGAATCATATTCTTGGTTACTTGAAGTCTTAATTAGAGCTACAGATGGGTTCTATCTAAATACTATTCTGACAAATGCTAATCCTGCTATATCTCTTGCTATTTTAACTATTTTGCCCTCTACTCAACATCTTCATTATGTTTGGTATATAAGTCAAAATTTACAAAAAAACTTTAAAAGTAAATTGGAGTCTGATTGAATTCTTTTATTAAAAATTTTTACAAAGCTCATAATATATTAGATCTACAAGCTTTTGAAAATTGTTTTAAATTTTTATTAGATTGGTATCTAAAAGCAGCTTAGTATCTCAATAAAATCTTATATTCTAATAGACAATGTTGGACGAGGGCTTATACTTTTTATTACTTCACTGCTGGTGTACAGACAACTAGTTGTGTAGAATTATTTAATGCACATGTCAAAGATATTATACGTCATAGTTATAAAACTTTATATGAGTTATTTGATTTACTTAATTCATTAATTTCTAGCCAAGACTATTATTATGATTTTATTATGATTTTATTAGCTGAAAAGCATCAAATCCTAATATTAAACTGCCAAATGTTTGTAATACTATATATCAAAATGTTGACTCTATCCTCAAAACCTTTGTTGCACCTAATTTAATTGAGAAAATTCGCTATAAAATAAATCATAGCTTGTTTTATTATTTGATTAAAATCAATCCTAAAATTTTAAACTCATATCAGATGACTATATTAGCATTTTGTTCATTTATTGATAAACAATTTACTAACAATTATTTCACAAACAAAATAACCTAACCTAATACAAATCAGCAAAATTGATATATAATCTTGTTAGTAAATACAATATATACCAATGACTATTAACTATATTTTATTATTTTTTTTATTATAGATACAAGATAAAGATTTGGTATTCGTTGATAATGCATTTGATTATCTATTAGCACATTCCTTTACACTTCTGAAACAACTTGAAAAACAAGTAATTGAAGTTTGGAAAGTAATATATATGATCTAGAAACATTCTTAACTTCATGTGTTTTTGTTGAAGGATGGTTTATTTATATGTAGTTGTATGTTATTAACAAATTATAGATATCCTTGTCAACATTTTTTCAGAGTCATAGTATTTTCTTCTGCTGCAAAATTTTTTATTAATTTTGTAGCAAGTCATTGGTTGTATAAGAAATACCAAAACAAAGACCTTGGCATACAACCTCTTGTCAATTTATCCACAGTTTTTTGTCTAAACCATCAGAAGAACTATTAATCCCAACACAAACTAATAACTTTTTAAATTTATTTTTGGTATCACAATCAACTGTGACCAACCCTTTATTCTATAGTACTAAAAAAATAATAAAGAAGAAAAAAAATTTACACAAAAACTATTGAAATCGTATATAAAGCAATCAATATTGCTATTAAGACAAATGATTCACAAGTTCTTAGATTTTTAAAAGAATACATTATTCAAAAGAGATATTTACTTGTTGAAAATACAACTTGTGTATCTTATTTAGGTTATAAAGCAAATATATTTAAGGAATGTTCCAAGTCTAATATAATTGAAACTTTACCACTTACCAATATTTCTAATTCTATTAAAAAGATTAAAAAAGGTCAACTACCAAAAATAAAATGCTATCAATCATTATTAGAAAAACAACTATCAAGAAGTAAAGGGAAGCAACATAAATTGATATGTGGTTCTAGAACAAATATATGTGGTGAATGCAGTAGCAAAAGTCATAATCGCCAATAGCATATTAAGCATGAAAATAAGAATTATAATTTGTCAACTATTTGCTAATTTTGTGTGATTGTGGTTATAAAAAAGAATTGCATAACTATAATTATACTGAAATTAATGATAAAAATGAATGAACAGGGTCTAGTAATACAGAATCAAACTTTAAATCAGATAATAATAATGTTTAATTGTATTTATAATTAATAGATATGTATTCATATTTTAGTATATACAATGTTTTTTACATAGTTCGATTTTAACAATAGAAATTACTATACAAATATTTTAATTTGCTATATCAATTTTATATTATAATAATTTTAATTAACAGTTCATAAATAAAATCCTATTTGTTATTTATTTATCTCAGTATGATGTATATTTATCTATAAAGTAATTTAAGTAATGATTTGAATGATATTCTATAAAATTTTGCTGATAAATTATATAAAATTTGTTATCAAGACAATATAATAAACTTGATATATATAAATATTTGTAAACTTCTACTGATTACATATTTGAAATCATCAAGCTATTATAATATGTTTCAAAATTTAAAAAAACAGTAAGTTTAGGAAAATTATAGAAATACTGATGTATGTTCATTCATAAAAGTATGAAAATATGAATAGAAATATTGATATACTGTATCAGTATATTCTTTAAAAAGTGTGAAAGTGCAAACAGTAAAACTATAACTATATATTATTTACAAACATATAACACCAAACATGAAATTTGTTAAATTATTATACATTTATGTTATTTAGTGTTAGAATTATATAAAACTGGATATAATTTCATAATCATAGAAGTTTGTATCAGATAACTCAAATGATACCAATGCTAGTCAAAATTTTTTGATATAATAAGATGATTAATAGGCAATATATAAAAAAACAAACATTATATAATCAGCTAGAAGATTGTTTACTAGCTAATTAAATCATACAAATATCGACCTTATATTATAGGAAGATAGCCTAATGATAAATTAAATATTAAAAAATAAACCAAAAATAAAGTTGATATAATAATAATTAATATTATCAATAAATATATGACTATGATATAAACTAATATATGCTTATGATTATATATATTATGAGAAGATAATATACCAAGTAATAAATTTTTATTCATAAATCAAATTATAGCTGATATATTATTTATTAATACTGATATATATATGATATTATATATTTTTCAATTTTTTTTTTTAATGTTAAGGTGACCTCTTTGGTCAGTACTTTTATTTATGTTTAACAAGTTACTTTTACAGTATCAGTCCCACATCAACTGTACATATATTTTTATATACATAATCTCAAACTAATATTCATTACAACCTTAAAACAATTTTATTCTTGGGGTAAACTTGCTAGAGTTTTTCATACCCACAATCCGGCTAATCTAGACTTTTGGTAACTTACGTCGAGTCCGAGAACAAGTATTTGCAAGCCAAAGCCGCTACTATTACCTACTTCTGCCCTTGTAGAGTTTACCCAGACCCCAGTACACACTTTACAGACTATTACCGGTTTTAATCCTAACAATTCCAAACTACCAATCCAGATAGCCCAGAAGGGCTGTGACCTGCTCCTGGTTTTCACAATTGGGTTCTTTTTTTCTGGTTTTCTCTGGTGGCCTGGTTGGTAGAGTGCCTTGCCAACACTTCAGTCCTGTTCAGTTTTGCCAATTCTCTCAATAATGATCCTTTACGTAGTACTGTTGAAGATCTGTGTTATCTCTCTACTCGGGTCTTGCCAAGTGAGCATCCTTGTCCTTCCCGGTTCCCTAGATTAATATGATCTGAAAGCTTATTCGTGTAACTCATATATCACACAAATGCCTCATGATCTTCCAATCTTGTTGGTGCTACCAAGGTTATAGAGATCTTCTAATCGACAGATCGACAGACAACAGTAGCCATAACTAGATAAAATTTTCAAAATTCATTGCTAGTGGGTTTCGAATCCTCTACCTAGCTAATATATCGCTTGGGGGTGTAACAACTTAACCACTTCACTAAGTTGCCACACCCTTATTATATATTTTTCAAAGATATTTATATAATTTTATTAGTTATCATTTCTAATCTCAAATATAGATTGTTATATAATGATATCTAGAATCAGTATAATATCTTTGTTAAATATATTATATCATTATTATATCAATATAAATTTATTTTATTAAATTAATTTAAGCTAATATTTTGATGATTAGTTTAGTTTTCTATTTTTATAGACAGATATTTTTATAATATCTATAATATTAATGAAGATATACAGGTCAAAAATTTTTAATATAATAGGATAATATAAAAATGATATATATAATAACAAAATTATAAAATTAGATATAAGATAATTAACTAATTAATAAAATTAATACAATATCTGTATAATATCTATCTAATATTATAGGCCGATAGAATAATAATATATTAAATTTTAAAATATTATCTAAAAAAAAAAAATATAAATATATATACTATAATTATTACTATATCTGCTTTATATTAATAGTATGATAGTTTGATATTATATAAAATTTATAAATTTAAACTAAAAAAAATAATATATATAAAAATAAATAAATAAAATCAAATATAAGATAATTGCTAATTAATAAAATTTGTATAATA